ACGTGTCTGACAAAGGAAAACAGCGAGATACGCGACCCCATACTGGTAGATTTGTTACATTATCGTCTGCTGATTAAAGTTTATCAACTCGCGGGCGGTTTTTGAATGGAGACAGTGTTGAACCGAGATTCTGAAACGAAAAAAGCTACTCACCAGAAATACTTCGAATTTAATTTAACGGGCTTGTTATTAAAACCGTTACCCTACGTTTCTTTATTTGAAATCCTTTACAACTTTTCTTTGAAAATATTAAAAGTACAGAATACACTTCTACCTCCAGACTTTTACCTGGAACCCACCTTACTTTCGGCTTTATTCTTCTGAACAATATAGACTTTCTACAGCTTAGTTTCTTTTCCTTTTGATAGCAAAGATTAAAAACGAAGTCAATTGATTTGTAGCTTGGAACAAATTGCATAAAATAAAGAAATGAACCCTATATAAAAACTTTTAAACAATCTAATCTTTTTATTACATTTTATTATTTACTACTGTTATAAGCTATTTTTTTTAAATTTCATGTTAACATCATGTAGCGTCATTTGCTAGACAAAATGTGATGAAATGGCGCTTTAGTGGACGATCAACCTAAAAATAAATTTCAATTAATTAATCTTTATGTAAGGTATTGGTGGAGATAAAAAAGTCAGTGTCACGAGCGGTATTCGAACCCACGACCTTCGGCTAAATACGCCGCTGCTCTACCACTTGAGCTATCGTGACTTCGATCCACTCGGACACCAACTTCCCATCTCAACCCAACCTTTCGAATCTAAAAATAATTTTTCAAATTTATAACAATCTTGCCAATGATTTTTTAATTTGTTTCATTATTGTGACATGTTGCTTGGTCTGAGAACTGTGATGTACCCTGTTGGGGTTTGCGGGCAAAGCTGCAGTTTGGTCGTTTTCCTGTCAGTTTTGCCTATTCATCCTATTAAACTAACGTATAATTAATTATATTATATTATAGTACTATTATATTGTAAAACTAACATATAATTATAAGTATAGACTAACATGAAATCCGTAGAATTTTGTTGACGGGAGAGTGTAATTTATAATTAGTGGGGCAATGAAGGACGTTGAAGAAGGAATAATGAGTATTGTTCTTAGGAATACCTATTAAATTTAATAGAGGAAAGCAGTTCAAGGCAGGAGATAAAATTGTTTAACAATTTGTAGGGAAAACCTAGTCCTACTGCCTCTAGGGTCTCCCTATTCAGGACAGACGAGTTATAATTTTGCCCATAATTGAAGATTGTGTGAAATCGAAAAGTTTCCGTCAGACCAAAACCATGGAAGACGAGCAGACTGGCAGGCTAGAGAATTGTTGAAAAATGGGGAGATCAGTTGGTAGATTTGGAGAAAAATTAGCTGTGTTGATCAAGGTAATTATCTCAATATGTAGTGCCAATTTAATGGCCATCAGTTAATCAACTTCCCACTGCAAAGAGAGGCAGGTGCAGAGCAAGCTTTCATTCCACATAATTTTATTTTCCAAGCCTTCTTTTTTCTCCGTGTACCATCGTCCGGCCGTGGAGGGAATAATAAATCGCGCATTCGCATGCGGACTAGGATGGCCGGTCCGTTTCTGCAGAATTCTGCCGCGATGACGACAACCAAATTGGACGATTGAAATTTGAAAGTGAAAATAACAGTTGCATTATTTCAAACTCGCTTCACCCCGGTAAGGTCTGCGATCTTCAGCAATGCGACACACTTCACACTCAGCCTGACAGCTTTTAGAAAGTAAAAACTCCTCTTACTTTTGTCCTGACCAATTAAAAAATCTTCACAAGTGTCAACATGACCTTGAAACAAAGGATTAAAATAGTGTTTTCTGCATTTCAATGCACGCTATTTCCTATAATTAATCGTAGAGAAACACAAATTTCTTTTTACTGTACCTTCTACTTTAAGAAGCAAATTGCTCTTACACATATCCTCGAAGATATAATGCACTTGCCAATTTTTAGTTAAGATTTACGAAAATAATACGCGATCGTCAAAGTTCGTTTATATTTTTTAACAAAGATTTTGAATTTTGTAATATATTTTGATAATTTATGTTATCATTTTTAATCAATCTGATTCAGTTTTCCCAATGAATCTTATAATAAGACAAATATTTTACAATTTAGCTATATAACCATTTTAAAACTTATATTTAATTATATCTATGAAACCACCTTCCTTTCACAAATCTCTCATTTCCCCATATTTAAAAAAAATGACTAATAATTTCTCAGGGATCTCCCGCCTGGAATCAATGGTGAAAATTTTTTCTCGGCTTCTGTTAAAACGTCTAGATACTTTTATTGACTCGGTAATTAATAATTTGTTTATTTTACTTAATTTAATTAAAATAACTGTTGAGAAGTTTAAAAAGATGATGAAGTTATGGCGATCAGGGATCTTTTTAACAATGATTTCTATTATAACTTTGCAAAGCTTTGATCTATTATTTTATCTTCATTAGGGGGCTAATTACAATGTCATTATGTTGGTTAAATGCCTCTTCATTAGATGGTGGTCATTATACTTCAAAGCAATTAGATTTTACACTCTTCTGATTTTAAAAGACATTAATAAATATAATAAATAGATGGCAGGTACACGTGAGAAACTTTTTTAATCTTAAAGGAAGCTCTTTTAAAATCTTTAAGCTCAAAAAGAAACCGTAATCCTTCTTCATTGATATTAGTGCAGCATTTGACACTGTTGATCGTCCTTCTTTATACTTAAAGCTTTTTAATTATAGTGTTCCTCTAAATTTATAGCAGTCCTGCAAACCTTGCGCTCACTCATGACCTCCGCTTTTAGGGGTGCGTGATGGGCTAACAGAATTTTTCCACATAGCCAATGAAATCTGACAAGGCTATATGCTCAGCCCTATACTGTTTCCTTAAATTATTTTCATGAATTAATAGAAGGAGAAATCTGTTAGGAACTTAAGAGTAAACATTTTGATAAATGCTGACGACATCCTGTTATCCAATCCCATATACTTTGCGTAGAAATATAACAATTCTTTAAAGTTATCGTGAATGCACTATATTTCGTGGTCCGACTGACCAAATAACTTCCTTCAATTAATTAATCTTTATGTAAGGTATTGGTTGAAATGAAAAAGTTAGTGTCATGATAAGTCAAGGGGTTAGATCAGCGGCGTATTGAGCCGAAGGTCATGGGTTCGTATCCCCCTCATCACACTAACTTTTTCATTTCAACCAATGCCTTACATAAAGATTAATTAATTGAAAGAAGTTATTGTGAATGGTGGACGTTACAACTAAATCTTCAAAAATCTACAATAATATTTTAGTCTTCCACAAAGCTGGTTGTCTAGCGAGATCGGAATGAAGATCATTAAAAAATATCAAAAACAGTATAGGACTGAGCATACAGCCTTGCTAGACTCCACTGGCTATGCAGAAAAATTTTGTTAGCCCATCACACACTCTAATTAATTAATAACCATTCCATAGACTGCTCTACTTTACTCTCTATGTACTTTTGAGCCAAAGCCCGCATATGATCCAGTATGTAGAGAATGGATGCTTGAAGTGTCCCACATAATTGAAGGGTTTCTATTCCTTGGCTCGATATAGAGAGCAGACAATAATGCCAGTCAGTAAGAGCTTGGGCACAACAGTATTCGGGTCCTTTGTTCCAATCTTCGGAAAACAGGGTTGTTTTATTGCATATAGTATTTAATATATTTCTCATATTTTTTGATATGTGTGACATGTATTAGTGTGAATGTATAATATGAGAGGGCCAATGGCATTTAGCTAAGTTAAATATAGGTAGTATGACTAAAGGGTGATGGAAGAATATCGAATCCACTACCCAAATTGAGTGAGAATATGTAAATAGGAAAGAACGCTTTTAAAAGCGAGTGGATTTAGATTTTTAAAATGTATGTGATGGGGGCTGAAATGACAGCTGTTGAAGTACTGGAGCCAGTAATTCTCATCCTGAGCATCATAGATTCGATTCTGTACACATGTGTATGGTATACATACTGTGCAGAATTGAGCTCATATAAATCAGTAAAAAAAAAAATGTTGATGCACCTATAAGGAAAATATCAAATATAAATTGTAACTTTTGAAGTACTCTTAAGCCAAGGCTTGGAGTCATTTTTCAATAGAAATATATAAAAACAGCGTAATCGATGAGATAAGTGAAATTGAGATTTTCATTCAGGAAGTGGTTTTCCAATGTTTAATTTTTTTCATTCAAAGATAACTTTGAAGTGCTCAAGTGTTATAAAAGTAATAAAATGAAAAAATATATATCGGACAGATTTAATCAACTATGAAATAGCATCCCTCTCTTATTCACATAATGACTGACACGGTAAGCTAGAGAAAATGTCAATAAAAGCCAAAAATTTAATCATTTGTAATTAAATCAAAATTATTGTGATTAACAAAAACAGAATGAAGAAAATTAAACAATTTAAGGAAAATATAGATTGAGCTTGCTTGAAGATTGAAGTTTAACATCTGGAAATGGATCAAAGTGGTGTTGTACATAACTGCCACTCTTAACAATCTGTACACAGTTTCATGGTGTTTGTTTCAAAAATTAAAAAAAAATACATTACAAAAACGTGTACATTTTTCTAATAATCAGTAGAGATAAATGATGAAAGAAAACAATGCCTAATTTATTTTCCTATGCTACTATGAGATATAATTTGTTTCAGTCTCAGAGCCTAATAGGAATTAAAAAAATACATAAAACAGTTAAGAGAAATAATGGTAACAATATAGTTTATTGCCACACAGAAAACAAAAATAAATAAAAAATAATCAAGTGATTAGAATTACAACAAATATCAAATAAATAATAATGGAATGTGCTAAAATTAATTTATGTCTAACATTTAAAATAGATTTATTACAAACAAACAAAAATAATAAAAAATAAAGGAAAAATGTATTTGATTTTGGGATTGCTATAAATAATCCTAGACAGTGATTTACTTTTGATTCATTATTTTTATAATTTTGCATTTAATCAGCGTAGGCACACTGTTATATTACAAAAAACAGTAAATTAAAAGAGACAAAAATTAACATTTTTTTAACGTTGTTTTACTTATACCATAATATAAACTGATACACAGTATTCTATATATTATATATATATCTCTAGTTGAGAATTGGTCATGATAGTTTTAAAATTTAGTTTAACAACATTAATTATAACAATAGATATGTAACCAGTACATTCTATGCATCTCTAACACCGCAGTTATAATATATTATTTTATGTAAAAATTTTCTTTTAAATTATTCATTGGGCACTGCTGTATGGAAGGCCAAAAATCACCCGTCACTCCATAAATAATAAGAGGACGAAGTACTGGATAGCACACCTTGATTACCCAATTCGTACTTTTAATATTTCGTCTCTACTTGTAAATACTAATGCAAGCTCAAAAACTTTTGATGTGAGGAAATGAACTAGATGTTATAAATTGTTATAAAAATGGTGAGTGAAATTTTAACACTAATTATAATTTGTTTTTATTAACAAATCACATAGAAATGCTACTTTATTTGTAACAGAATTATTATTGGAAAAAGGTAATGGTCAATTTGGAAGAAACGTGAGCAAAAACCGAACTGACATACCTTATGTTACAATTCCCCACGTCAAAAAGATAGCCAGTAAAATTATTAACCAGTACTACGTCCAAATCTAAAAAAAAAAAAATTGTAGAAAGAAGTCAGAAAAGTTGACTGCACACAGAAACCCGTGGCTGATCTAATGTTCAACTTTTAGCTTTCACAAAAATGGAATACTTGCATAATCCAATTTTATGTTTGGCATCAAGAAATACTGTTCTAATATATAATATTAATTGCAATATAAACTATTTTAACAATGGCGGTCAACGCTAGACATTTTACATGGTCAAATGAATAAATTATTTATTCTATAACAAAAATATTCATATACTCTTTAATTTCTTTAAAAGATTATTGCTCTTTTTTTAAAGAACCAAAAAGGTATTAAAAAAGTTCTAGCAGGTAATCTATCGTAAAGCACACTTTTCCTATCATTATTGCACAATAAACTTAAATTATTAGCTAAAGGAAATATTGCAGAAAATCCATTTAGGAATCATCTCCCATGATTTTACTTGTCACCATTCCTTTTCTGTTTTATACATATATTTCAATGGTCATCTCTTTTATTTTCTATGGACCAGATCAAAATGACTAGAATAAATAAGTGTAAAACTATCGCTGTTATCACGATGTAGGTACGCTGAATTAGGCAAAGAACTCAACTTTATTCGAAAGTTCATATTCCACTTCTTCGTTTTTGTAGAGTTCCAAAGTCTACAATAAAATCATAAAGTTGTACGCATAAAATAAAATTTAATAATTGTATAAATAAAAATATATTGTTTTTACTTTGTTGATTTCTTTCAGTAGCTCTTGCTTCTGTTTTTCATGCTTCACACTCAGCTTTTCTTTTTCTTTTCCATGCTTCATCTGATAAATGTATTTATTAAAATTAAAAAAAAAAATGTATTAAAAATATTTACAATAAGAAGGTAATACCTGTGCATATTTTCTTTCATCCATGAATTTTTTAGTATTATTTTGCTTCTTTTCTCTCAACCTACGATCCTTTTCACCTTTCGTTCTGAGCGTTTTATCATTGGCGACCTCTTTGGTAGTTTCAACTGAAATCTTTGCTTGTTTTGTATTCATCTCCTTCATCTCTCTGTAATTTAATTATAACAATTACAATCAAATTACATTTTAAAAATGTATAACTTGCCTTTCATGTTTGGCTTCAAGCTGTTTCATTTGGGCCAAATGGGCAGCATCCATTAGTTTTGTTAACGTATCCTGCTGCTCAGCAACTTGTGTCTTCATTAAAGCCCAGTATTCTTTTCGATGTCTGTCAACCATTTCAGACCACTGACTAACTTGTCCTGTTACAACTTCCCGGACACCTTCTTCTCTGGCAACCTCAGATGATTTCTTGCCTTTAACCAATTTCTCTACAGCTGAGCACTGTTGTTTCTGCACCAGACTTTTTTCCTTTGCATGCCTTTTTTGCAAAGCATCTATTTCTTTCTGCTGTTTCCGCTGAACCTTCTGGTAAGCCTTTTCTGCTTTTAGCATTTCCATTGTGATCACTTCAAATGTAAGATCTTCAACTGTGGGGAAAATATTGTCATTAGGTCTGTTATTTCTTTTTACATTGTTTGAAAATTACTTTTCTTTTCTTCTTCTTTTGACGATTTCTTAGTTGTATCATTGCTGTTCAGAACACTAGTGTTGATATCTGTTTCTTCAATTCCCATTGCTTTCATCTGTTGTGTCCTTTTTTCCTGACCAGAAAGAAATGCTCTTGGGTCAGAAAGGGCAGCCATAAACCCTATCAAACATAGTATTTTGAATAAAAAAAATTATTTATTTTGTAACAAAATTTTGGACAAATCATGCAATGAAAAGAATGAAGGATACAAACAATAATCGATATACTATAGTGATAGTACACATATTTTAACTACACAGATTGAATTGTAATAAGTTCATTTTTGTATGAATTCACATGAACAGAAAAAAAAGTAACTATAATAATTTTAACAAAAATATAATAAATGTAATGTCCAAAAATTACCTTCAAATCCATCCGGTACATAAATTTTGAGTTCAATATTACAAAAAAGCATGGGAAGGGACATGGGGAAGTTTGCCTCAGTCCTAAGTGAGATATGCCTGTAACCTGCTTGAAGGCCATCAAGGGGTAGGATCCTTTGTCCGAGAAGCTTACCGTTCTCGTCGTACACTCCAAACCTCAAAACCGCCAGGTCTGGTAATACAACCTTTACAGACAAAATTAAACCTAAAGATATCTCCATTGTATCAAAACTATTCTATTATTAACTTCATTAAAGTGTGTGTGTGTGTGTGTGTGTGTGTGTGTGAGAGAGAGAGAGAGAGAGAAAGTGTGTGAGAGAGAGAGAGAGAGAGAGAGAGAGAGAGAGAGAAAGAGAGAGAGCAAGAGAAGGATTTAAAAGTGAATGCTCTAAAATGAACATACAATACAATACATGCAAGAGTTACCAGTAATGTCCCTACCATAACCACCAAATCATGCAACAACCTCAATTTTAGAGCTATCAGGTGAAAATGCAGAAAACAGGGAGAACTTGAATTCCGTAATGAAATAATCTTATAATCATTTAGAGCATTTTTATTTTATTTTAAACAAAACAAAATTTGAGTGATGTACATAAAAAATTTTTTTTACATTATTACAAAATAGATAATATTATTAATCTTTAGTTTTTTAAAGTATTATTTCTTGAAGACTTATTTTTCATAACAAAGCTTTTCTTTTAGCCAATTTTTGACCATTCGCTCCATGCCCTTTCAACTTTGACAATGTATCTGTCTAATCGTTTCATAAAGATTCGAAAGCTCTTTGCAAACGCAAGAAGGAATTTAAATAAAGAGAAAAAAGTTTTTTTTTTTTTACATTCATTTTTTACATTGGGGAGATTTTACATAAATAAGTACAATGAAATAATAAAGTTCAACCCGAGAATAATCCAAGAAGGATTTTTCTGCAGTGTGCTGAATCTAGATGAAGACATAATTTTGGGCCCGAGTCCGTCGGTGTCTCTAGCTAACAACTTTGGCAAATATTCTTGAAATTGATAATTCTGAGGTTAATAAATAAGGGAAAGCATTTGCACAACTTAATAAGAAAATTAATAAATTTCAGAATGAAAATAGGAGAAAGAAAAAGGTGTTTCATAAGAGAATAGAATGAAATGAGTGAGGAAAGAAGTGTTTTTCACTGAAAGGAATTATCGCTACTAGTGGATTAAGCGTACAAAATTATTTACAAAAAAACTAAAATTTTAAACTGGCATAAGCAGTATCATATCGTAAAAGAAATTGATGTGGTCAGTTGGCACACATGCATATCATCAATATTCGGCATAGGTACAGTTTCATTTGGTGCACTTTACAACGCCAAACCAGGCTGTCAATTGATCATCTACTAAAAATGTTGGTTTTCTTTTTTGTTATAATGCATTTATAACATGCAAAACCATTCAACACAATTATGCTCTTCCAATTTACTTCAAAAATTTATTAAACAAAATTAAGCTTTTTAAAAATCATTTGTCATCTTTAATAGTTTTCAAAATTTCCAAGGGAAAGCTTCTGGGGTCTTTCTATGCTGTTATATGGTGCAAAAATTGCACATTAGGAATTATTTTTATAATACAATTGCCACTATCTTTCTCTTTATCTCTCGCTCCATCCTCGCATAAGTATGTACTACCACTATATGTCCTTACTCTTCAATATGTATAAAAAGTTTACAATTCAGAAATATGTATTATAAAACAAGAAAAACGTTCCATCCCTAACCAGTTCATATGTATGTAACACTTATTTGGTTATACTAGAAATTATGTTAATATTGTAGCATTGTAAGTCAAACAAATTAACCCTCAGTTAACACATAGATCACGAAAAAAATAAATTGAACATTCTTCTTTAAATACTAGAAACGGAGTTTGCCTAAATTGCACATATGAAGTGGATCAGTGAAATAATTATAGCATCAGTTTCTCTTATTAACACATGTCAAGGTGGATTTGTTTTGCCCTTGTTCCAAGACAAGAGTCTTCAAACAGTATAACTGTGCTTGTAGAAGTCCATTTTTTCTTTAGACAACAGACCCACAATAAACAGACATCTTTGTACATGTATAAGATTTTATACCGTACCTTCGATTACCGTCTTTCCCAGGCTCAGTTTTTAACTAGTAGCCAAGGAGATTACATGTGTGTATAATGTCAAACAATAAGAAAAAAAGCCGTGACCTCATGAATAGCAGCGTCGATGACATCAAAGAAGGCCTAGAGGACCAGGGTGTTTTGGAGGTGAGGAGGATGAACACTCGCCGGAACGGACAAATTGTCCCTTCGGCGNTATTTATAAAAGTACCCCATCGACCCCAATCTAGTTTAGTTTAAGTGTAGGTCGGTGGAGGAATATCAAGTACTCCACCGACCAAACGGAATGAGTGTACTGTATGGATGTATTTAAGTGTATAAATGTATTTATTTGTATGAACGTGTATAGAATATAGACTTAGTGGGGGCTGAAATGACCTAGATGTCGGAAGCCCCGAAAAAAAAAAAAAAAAAAATAAGAAAAAAAAACTCTTATTGATCTACTATTTATACAAGAAAAAACAAAAAGAAAAATGTAAAAGGTTATTGTGAGCACATTATTGGAAAGGGAAGAATATGGTGCATTTCATTCCCTTTTTGAGAAGTTGGAAGAAGAAATAAAATTAAGAAATAAATAAAGAGGAAATAAAATTTTACTATTACTTTCAAATGCAGAAAAAGCATTTAAACTCTTATTGATGATGATGCAATGATACTTTCAAACACTGTATCGTCTTCGTACACTGGCGTGGTTGACCACACTTTCTTTCACCGGACCAGCATCCATCACACCGAGTGGGGCCGACACTCTTCCGTCCGTAAATAATTGCTGGACGATATCCGGTGCATGTATACATTTTTATTATGCCCTATACAACCTGCAAGTCCAGTAAAAAACATGGTCCGTTGTCCGATGAAAAAATGGATATCTACAAGCTCTCTAATGGATGGCGAGTTGCAAGTATCGGGTTGTCCGGAAAATAATGCAGGATTTTAAGTTTTCATTAAAAAAAATCTATATAAAATATTCTGTTTACGTTTACAGGATTACNTTATTTTGATTAAAGAACATTGCTTTAAAGTAACTAGTTTCTTTTTTTTTGTTTAATACCAAAATCCTGCATTATTTTCCGGACAACCCAATATGTTAAAACAAAATACATCAAACACTTGATTTACAACTTTCAAAAAAATTATTTGGAGCGTTTATAAAATTATGAATCTCATGGGACCAGTTAAAATACTGTTTTTCGAGAAATTCACTTTCACCAAATTTTTCAGGGAATGTGTAAAGATTTGGCTACCATTGAGTTGATTTCTTTTATTTCATTTTTTTTAATGCCAAATTTTGCCTTGTATTGTTCCATTAAACGATTTAAAACATGCAAAAACTAACCTTTCTGAATAAAAATGGTTCTTCATTATAAACAGGATTTAGACCATTGCTGGGGACCATTCTTGTACGGAATTCCTTTCGGATCGTATCAGTGGGCAAGCCATACATGTCAACTTCAACATAAGTCCCTACCTTTTTATCTGATAAGAACTGCCCTGCAATGACCTTTTAAAAAAATAATTAAACTTAAAATCTTTAAACCTGTTTACAAAAGTTTTTTTTTTTTTAATTTATCATACCTGCACCGAGCACTGAGCTGCAATAACCCCATCAACAGGTGATTCAGCAAACGGGTCAAAATTTCTGTCATAACGACGCATGAAATCTGGCTTCAAAAGATATCCACAATTTCCATTGTACTCGAATTTACCCTGGTTTAATTGCATTGGAAGATCTGCTGTTTGAAAATTTAGTGATACCATTTGGCAACCCGCATTCCAAAAAACCTGCAATGATTGTTTAACAATAATTGAAGTGATGCTTTTTTTATATATTCTTCAATTAAAACAATTAAAAACCTGAGGCATATAGTTAGAAGAATCAGCTCTTGTACCCTTTGGGTAAATCCTGCTCATCTGTCTTTTATTGTAATTTACAAATTCCAAAGCTTGCTGTTTTAAATATCCCAAACCAGTGTTTTCCGCAAAAGAACTCATGTTGTAATGAATATTTTTCTCTAAGGTAGCAAACAAATTAATAATTTTTCTTCTAGAGAATCGTTTTTTTAAATTTTTGTTATATTTACGTTCAGCAATATCAAACCCTTGAAACTTTATTGGCTGGGCATAATTAACCATAGAAGACAACCAAGGATGTACATTTGTTGTAGATCCTGTGTATGGTTGAACAGGCACGGGTGTATCAACTGCTACTTGCACTTCTTCTTGCTCGGGCTAATTTGAGTTTAAATATTAGAGTTTATCAAATCGTAATAAATGAATGAGTTACCTTTTTTTCCTCCACACTGACTGAAACCGGAGCTGAAGCATCTTCCTTTTCTTCGTCATCTATCACAAACTGTCCTTGGATAAATAATTCTAACTCTGTTTTCTCTACTTCTGGCTTAAGTCTTTTGTTCTTTATAAGAATTTTCCTTTTTAAAGAGCAAGGAGGAGGGAGTGGGACACCAGGTTCAAGCTGGGAAAATATTAGTTTAATTTATTTAAAAATTCAGAATGTAAGTCGCACATGGCAGTAAAATGCTCACAGGATAATCTGGAAGGGGCTCTTTAAGTAGTAGATCACCTAATATCTCATCACAGTATTTGGCAAGCTTGTGTTGCTGAGTTTTACAACAATGGTTTTCAAAAGAAAGAATAACAGGATAATCTGAAGTAACAAAAGCAGTATCACGAAGTGCATAAATAACATCCTAAAAAAATAATGTTTATTAATTTTGGAAACACAAAATACAGGGTGGTTCTCTAAGAGATGAAAAATGAACGGTTGTAGATTGTAAATGAAGTAGAATAATGAAAAACTGCTTTGAACGTCGCGATGGCCGGGGGACTGGGAATTAAATATTACAATTCATGTTGAGGGACGTGGTTGTAGAGCTCCTTCAACCTGATGATGAGCTGTAGGCTCGAAATCCGGATCATTTAAAAAAACTTACTGTGAGTAGGAACCTTTTTAACAGGATTGAACAACACACTCACTCCACCATTTATCTTTTAGAAAAAAACAGGTTTTTAATTATTTTTTCCTTTATATAAAAAAATTTACTTTATTGATGCATTTTATTGCAATTTATGTTAAATTTTCTAATCACAAAAAATTTCAAAAATTCACTACACTGACTAAACCTCCTAGATTTACGCGAATTGCACAAAAACTCTTAGTTGATTAATCTTTCAAATTGTATGCTTGGTAGGATAAGGAACATTTCTTTTCAAGTAGTATGATCATAGTTCAAAACTCAAAAAATGTATAATGAAAAAATGTATGATGAGAAAAAATTAATTTTTATTGAGAACTGACGTTTTTATTACAAAAAAACGAATACTGTAAGTAAAAATAAAAATTATACTTAAATGAAAGAAAACAGGCTAAGTGTTTTGAATACAATGAATTGGTGTTTCTTTGAATGAATTGGAAAAGAGTTGAGATTTAAATGTCAATACTAGTGTGACCAAAGTGCAGCCTACAATCTGTGAGAATTGCTAACTTTCAATGTGACAGTGTAAATGATGAGGAAACGTGCTAGACAAGCATGAGAAGAACATACAAAATACAGCTAAGTAATGCCTGTCAAAAAGAAGGGCATAACGTCCAAACTACCCATTGGTTGCCGTGGATGAAGGGTAAAGCCAACACATTTTTCATATTAAAATCTATCAAAAAGCCATGGGCTATGCCAGGATTCAAACCCAGAACCGCTAGCAAGGCAAATATAACTCAGATTCCCTAACTATTCAGACATGGTCCCCCCCCCGCATGAGGAGTGGAATTCACTTTGAGAACTTGCTATAGTAGAGCGCTGAGAAATTCCTGAAATCCTGAAAGAAGAGTGTACCGATCTTGCCAAACATACCATTTGAAAAATTATTAAACTATGCAGTTTTTGTGAAATTGGGAGGTTTAGTCAAAGCATAGAGAAATTTTGAAATTCTTCAAAGATCTAATGTAATGGCAAAGATTTTATTTTATTTATTTTTGTAACAAGTCTTTTTTTAAATCTTTTTGATGGAATGAGTTATAAAACCCATTTTTATAGCACCTACTCAATTTACAGTCTACTATCACTTAATATTTATATCTCATAATGAAAAATCCTGCATAGACAAATAAATAATTAAACAAACCTTAAACAAAATATCCGTACACATAGCTTTCCCATGAGTAATAATTGGTTCTTCATCTTCACCTTTTCCATCCCAACAATCTAACTCCACACATCTAAAATAAAATATAATAAAATCAGAAAAAACTTATAAATTAGAAAAAAAGTAGCAAATATACCTGCAACCAGCCAGTAAAACTTGGCGGTACATCTCGACACTCGATTTGCCACCGAACTGTCTCCCTGTGAGGTAGGTATTATGTGAACTATTTATATAATAATGAGACAGCGGTTGATCCATTTCCATGTAAATGTCAAGTCTATCAAGAAAAACGGGTGCGTTCTCATCGGACATTAAATAACGAATTAGGCCATCCTTCGTAAGTCGTTCTGAAATTTAACAAAACCGTTATTAAATAAAGAAGTAAGAGGTATTCAAAGAATTTTTATTTAGCATACTCTCTTTAACAGCTTCCTCGTTTTGCTCATAGGTCGCAATAATTTCAGCTGCCCTCTTTTCATCATAAAGGGGGTACAGAATTTCATTCAGCCGAGGATCCCGTTGCTTTTCATTCAAGAAATTTATGAACTGGTCAATACTGATTGAGTCCGCTTTACCCTGGGTTCTAGAAATTGGTGGTTTAATTATATTAAACATTAAAGGAAAATGTAATTAAATTTAATGTAAATGTATTTACATGGATTGAAACAGTTCCTCTATATCATTTCGAGGGCATATTTTATGGTACAGTTCATAAAATTTGTCAAATGTAAAGTCTGCAGGTTCAATGACATCATTCTAAAATTGATTAAACAAATATACACATTAAACAAAACATAATTTAAAATAGAACAAATTATATAACGTCAGTTGGACTACACAATATATAGCTCATTTCATCAAACGGTAAATTTATATACATTTCAAAGTCTTCTTCAATAGAAATTACTTTTCACAAGAGCATTACATAAGAAACATTTTATTTGGGATCCAATTACATAACATTTAATAAAGTTACCTTTCCACTTGGTAGATTTAAATCTTGCAAACATTGGTAGACAAGCTTTTCTGTCTTACCAGAGGCAAAAGTTCTCGCAACCACCTTGACAGGAACCTTACCTTTTGGGTCTACTAACATTCCAAGACGCATCCAACTGGAAAACAGATATTACATCATCTTGAAAAGCCATATTGATTAAGAAAAAAAATTAAAAAATAGATAAACAGCAAAGATTTAATTTAGGTACAACATGAAGGCTTGAATTGTTAAGTATTACGTTAAGCAGTGTTTTCAAGCGTAAGTGAGTTGTTTCACAAGGGTTAGGCATACAATCTAAATTAACAGTTGAATTTGTTTAATTTTCTATATTTTCTTTTTTAAGGGAATAAAATTGTCAATTTAAATCGGGGTTAATGAAGCGTTAGTGAGAAAAGATGATCCCTGTACTTTTAAAATTACTCACTGCTTCATGAGATTGGTGCGAACACACACATTGTTCATCTTGTTATTATGAGTGATCTTTCTTAAACCTTCTTGCCACGCCTGTGAAAGTAAACATGCAAAAAATAACATCAAAATAAAATAAGTTTCTAGTTTTTGTTTAAAATAATAATAATAAATAAAATAAAATAAAAATGCTCCAATTTATAACAGCCTTTAAAATAAATTAAAAAATTAATTATTGGAAAATGTCAACTATTATTATTTTTTATCATGCACTCTATTGATTACACATGATATATTAATGAAAGAGTAAGCTAATTTAACCTTCGAGAGGTCGTCTGGGGGTATTTTTGTACCCCAGATTTTTTCTTCTTTCTGTCACAAAGTCCGCAAAACTGAACCCCCACTAGCCCTGTTCTATTCAAAAAATCAACTAAATATAAGGAAAGGATGGATGAGTTGGTAAGTGGCCATCAGAGTGTTAGTACACAATCATCCCTCAAAGAGGAAAAACCATCATTGGAGTAAACCATTTATTTTAATAGGAGGAAGGATTTCCTCCTGGTGTCTTTGAGAACTCGTATTTTGATCTTTATCGACCATCTTGGAATGCCAATACTCGCTGGGTTGGTCTGTCAGACGCGTTTCAGCATTGCATAATCTTCAATCGAACTTGCTTTCTAATATGCCAGTTTGACAGACAAAAACAAATCTCTTGCCATTCACTTTTGGTCATATGATGAGTAATTAATACTTGAAATCTGGATAGCTGTCTAAAACTTCTGAACAAAGTATTACTATCATTTCCAAAAATCGAATTGAACAAATACTCACCACCATGCCTCAAATCATTTCTACCTCTTGTCACTTTTCAGTACAAATGTACAAACTATTGCTTGTATATTAAAATACTGCATTTTTGGGGCACAACTGGTATTACCTCACTCTATGAGCACAGCAAAAGAGAGTATTAATAACTGGGGCATGAAACAATTCCTTAAGGAGTGGAATTTATCCTCCGGACACAGGCAATCAAAAGAGTTTGTTAAGGTAATCAAACCAGCAGAATTGAAATGGCTATTCTCTACCTCAAGGAATACCTATCAGCCATTCTGACGGGCCACTGCCCACTGAGAAGACACCTCAATGGGTATTCTATTCTAAGATCCCTTTTGCCCTTTTTGCGAAATAAAAGAAGACATGGCAAGGCACTACTAGGTCCAGATTTGAAAACTTTTTTAAGGGAGCAGACATCACCAAATCACTCCCCCGAGATAAAATGGTCCAATATCTTGGGGTTTGTGAACAAGTCCAAGAGATTTATACAGGACACGTAAGCCGACCAAGTCCCGGACCTTTTAGGGATGAGTCTACCCAGGCATTTAACCTCTCGGGTCTTGGTCGCCCATCCTGTGTAATATATATACCCATAATTTACTAATAAGATTATTTTCTAATTCAATCTAGTTTACTGATATAAGAAAAATTCAATAGATACACTTTGGTCTATCAAATTATTCAGAATCTAACAAAAAACAATTGGTATACATCCAAAAATACATCACTAGCTCGAGAATGCTGCTGAATTGCAAAACCAAAATAAAGATTAGGTGCATAAAACAAGGTTACACACTACCAGGTCCCAGGACACATAGGAGAAGAGGGGAATGATGAAGTGGATATCTTTGTAAGGAAAGAGTCTACTACACTGCTGAAAAATGGAAGGTCCTGAACCATTATGAGGTATAGGCAACAATCAACAGTATCTTAGTTAAGAAGGTATTGTGAAAGTGAGGAAATGATGGACTTTAATCACTGGACACAAACCAGCCAAAAACCTCCTATCTCTGAATCAGAGCAGGGCACCGTTTCGCAGATTTCTCCTCTGAAGACTGGTTTCAATCAATAAGGAAGTGGGGATTTTGCAAAGAATCAGAAGCGACCCTAACACAGCTATTATAGACTGTGGTGATTTCTCTGCAGGAGGAAATGCTTTGATACAACATGACCATACAAGAAATAACAACTAAAACTGGGCCTAATAATCAAATTCTTTGATGAATTGGAACTCATCGTGTGCTACTCACTCAAAGGGCCCAATATGCCAAATTACCCTGAATTTTACATTTACATCATCCAAAAAAATATTGTTTAAGTAGTAAATAATAAAATAAAGTTCATTTTTTCAGTTTATTATTGGTTTTCCTCATTTTGTGAGATTGTAAAAAATATATCATTATTCTTGGGATCCAAAATAGACTGGGGGTGACTCCGCATGGATAACTTTGGACAGACCATCTTGTAGCGGGAGGTGCAACCGCTCGAAGGTTAAGTAATAATGCTGAAATATATTTCCACCTTGCCTATGAGACAAATTTTGAAATTTGGTCTTTGAATGATTTGTTTAAAATATTAATACAATTTCTATAAAATCAAATATTTGTATAAAGATGGACACAACTTGTCCTGATAAAATCAAATTTATTAAATTATATGGACAATAAAACTGTAAAAATATACATCACTTTAAAAAGGCAAATAAAAAATGCGTGAGCTTTTTGGAACAAAAATATAGTAAGTCAATTAGTAAATGGATTTAAATAAAAAAATTTCAATCATACCTGCTAAAAAAAATAAAATAACACAATTAAAATTAGTATATCTAGGGGACACAGCCTGTCTCTTAATAATATAGATAATTAAAAACATGCTTATAATAAAAAAAATTAACAATCAAACATGCCCAGTCATTAAATAATAGACAAAAAGAAAAGTTACGGATATAATTGAAATATTGATGCATTTGTTACTGTCTCTTTATTAATTATGCAGACACAGGACAAGTGCATGCAGAATGATAACAAGCGCAGGCGGATTTCTTTTGAAATTCTTTTGTCTTCATGTTTCAAGTTTTTTTTGTCAGACTTACTGCTTTTTCAAACATGTCATTGGACAGACATTGTTGGCTTTAACATTGTGCGTTATATTCCTCAAACCATCTAGCCAGGCCTGTTAACCCAACATCAATGCGGTTTTGTTATATCAAATGAAATTCTCCGCATTTAAATTTGTACAATAATTATTTTGAGAAATTCAATATGTATAAGTGAAAATAAAAATAAATGAAATGGGCACTTTTTACACCTAATTCTTATAATACATTATAATATGAAAGTTCATTTGATGATAATAAAAATTTAACAATTTGAGCCATTTTATCCACTTATCAATTGATGAATATGAATCTGTAAATTAAAATAAACACAAATAAAGAAGAATTGTTTAATTAAATAGTTGAATGTGCAATATCAAAAGGAACAATGTTTTTAATTAGACAAACTTGATAATAAAGCTTGATAATAAATATTTTTTTTTGTTATGTGCATTTCCATCTCACATAGCCACATAATTTGTTTATAATAACATTAAACTTAAAAAATTAAACAGTTCTCTTCTAAAAATTACAATAATGAGTTGTAAACAAGTCTGTAGCATTGTTTGATGGTAAATTCAATGAAAATTTCAGGTACTTGTCAACAAATTCAATCAACAAAATACAGACCATTTTCTTCCCCTACATGTTGCCATCTTACATGTAATTTTGTAATTCTGTCCGAGAACTTGTGTTTTTGAGCGATGAATGCCTTGATGTGTTTTCTGCAGTCCTCAAGTGAAGTAGTTTTTTTTCCTATTATTAATTTTGCAGAGCATGGAAGTGAAAATCTAAAGGGGCAATGTCAGACAAATATGGTGGGTGGATTCACATTCCAGCCATGCTCTAACAATTTCTGGAACATCTACAAATACAAGTGAGTGCTAGTGGAAAACAATCTCACGCCGGTAATTTTGGGTCAATTACTGACTTGCACCAATTGTGTGCAGTATACACTAAAAAGGTGAAAGAAGCTTATAATAAATCACTTCCTTCCAATCCCACCAAATGCACATTACCTTTATGGGATGTAATCCGGCTTTTGAAGTTGTCAACAGTGGATCATTGTATTTTTTCCAGGATTTTCCCCTCTGAAAATTGTCGTAAAGGACTCACTTTTCATCCCCCAATTATCAATCTTAATAAAAATGGGTTATTTTAGAAGAGATGAAGATGGAGTGGTGATCCAGCAAATTCCTCTGAGTCGACTTGTGAGGAACCCATATATCTTCAACGAACATATCTTTTAACTCATATATCTTCTCTCAGATGCATCGAAATGCTTGTATGAGATATGTTAATCGTCTCTGCAATGTCTCGTTTCATTGAGTATGGGTCATTTGTGACAAAAACTTGAAATTATAACAACAAATGAAGACGACTAGAGCGCTATGATTCTTCCAAAATTCAATTTCGGTTTCTGAACTCAGCAAACCACTTATGGGCAATACATTCTCCTGAAGTGTTACTACCACACACACACACACACCCATGCACACACGCACGCACACATACACACAGCATGGGGCATGGGGACTTGGCACGCGGGAGTTGCATGCTGGTAAAGCCACGTGCCCACGGTGACAGTTGATTTTAATATTAACGAGTGAGCAGAAGATAAGAAGAAGACGGAGATGGAGAGCACTCCTTTCTCCACCGGCAGCACCAAGTTGGAACGCTGTGAAGGAGACAAGGTTGCTCCCCCTAAGGTACAGGGTGATAAAGACGAAAGATTCACCCTGGTTAAAAGCAAAAGGGGTAAGAGAGGAGGGTGATCCAGGCTTGAGAACAATAAGGATCACTTCAATTCTCGAAAGGTTGGGTCCACACCCGTGTTTCAGCCTGCCTTCATGCACAGGTCCAAACAAAGACGAAACCCTCAGGTAAATACTACCCCCGCACAGAATAGACTGGGGACCAGTACTAAAAGAAGTAGGATGGAGTATTCTTACACTCCACCTTCTGCAAAAGGACCTGCCAAAAAACCAAGACAAGGGAAGAATAGGTAATTACACATAAACCATTGTTTAAAGTTGATTTTGGGAAAGCCAACAAGGATCTCTTCACAAACGATGAGGCACTAGAGTTGAGATCACTGATCTGCAACAGTGCCCTCGAACTGATTGAGGAAGAAGGCGTGGATTTCAGAAATTCAGGTCTTGTTAAAGGAGGATCCATGTTCATGATAAGCTGCGGGGATGAACTCACCGTCAAGTTTGTCAGGGACACACTAAAGAAGCTGTGGGATGAAAGGAAATATGTGGTCTGCGACATTAATGACCTCCCAAAAAAGGCCAAAGTATCCACATATGCTGACCTTTTAGGGATGGGGTACGAGCCTACCCAGGCATTTAACGCCTATATATATATANCATACACATACCATAAATTTTCTAGCAGTCAGAGCTGCAATTTTCCTTTTACAGTAATGAAAAACTATGAAATAACCAAAATGTAATATATAATGTAATATTATAAATGTAATATTTTTTCTACATTTTAAATTAACAAAACACCTTGTAAAAATATGGGATCCTGAACAAAACTGACCAATAAAAACACCTTAATTAATTCCTTTTCAGAGTGTGTAAACCATAATGACTAAATAAACATTGCTTCAAAGCACAAGAGGGATAAAAATGAATTGTTGAAATTCGCTACAGACTTGTTTTACAACCCAATAATTCTCCAAGTGCAAAATTGCTTCAAAATCAATTTGTATTTTGTAAATTAATGCAGCTCAGTGCCATAGTTTAAAATTAGTTTATAAAAAACAAAAACATTTATCTGATAATCTCCTTGTGCTATTAACCCATAAGCATAAATAAAAACACTCAGCACAAGTGAGTATATAAATCAATTCAAAGCAAAAAACATATTGTATTGTATAATCAGATTGAGTATCAATGTATGTAGAATCAGCTGAACCAACATACCTTTGCAGTTGCAGCATCTGGACAGACTACATGCTGATAATTTATGTTAATGTAGTCCGTACCGCTGCAGATCGTCAGTGACTTTTCTTCTACGTTATCCCCATGTTTATTTGTAAGCTGAGCCAGCAGCCTTGAGTCCTAGAAAAACAAAACAAGACTTGGATAAAATTCCGTATCGATGATTCAAATATTCAAATTTTCTTTCTTCTTTTACTTGATTGTTTATTTGAACTTGAAGATAAAATAGTTATATTGAAATTCAGCACTAAAACATTTACAAATTTGAGTACAAAATATTATTATTGATGAAACCTGACATTTTTCAGGATATTTATTTTTTAAAGTGAAAGCCTAGCAATTAAATTATTTGTTTTTAGTTTTAACACTTGTATCCTTTTTCAATGAAATAAAGTCCATTTTTAAGTGTTTTAAAATTTGAAAAATTCAAAAAATTGGCTAATTTTCAATGTTTTATTTGTAAATGGCAAATATATAAAACTTGTTAAATGACTAAGTTTGAGCGATTTTCAGTTGGATTTATTAGAAGATTAGGTATAACTGAATTACACGATTCCTTCCAGTTCTGAATTTTTAACAAACCATTCTGCTAAGTGCTTATAGAATTAAGGCTAGTACATAACTTTCTTAAAATTACAAAATTAAAATAAAACGCATTAGGTTGATTAAACTGTAACAATTACTTGAATTTTAAGTCAGACATATTAGTACAATGGTTCTTATGGGTGAATTTAATAATGGTAATTACGAATGTTATAAAACAAAACTTCAAAAAAATTATATAATATAATATTAAATACTATTTCAATTAAATAATACCATAAAGAAAGAACCTAGCATCGTTTAAAATAAAAATAAAGCAAATGAGTGTAAAAAGGGCCAAAGTATTGAGTTTTTAGTAAAACAAAGGGCTTTGAACTGGAAGAAATAAAAAATATCTGCTTGCAAACTTCAAAATAATATCTCATAGAAAATAAATAAATACATTATCAATTGGTCCTTTAGAACTTTTCCTGCGGCATGTGTTGGGGTGGTGGAGCACATCCCTCCCAAAGAACCCTGTACTAAAGACTAAACTATGTTTCATTTTGCTCAGTCCAGGGGGGCGGGGCACCCTGCCTGGTGGTGCGTCGGGGGTCTTGTGCCTGTGAGTTTTTCCCCAGCCGGGCACTGCGGGCTTGCAGCAAGATCAGTGGAGCAGTTGCAGGTTTCCAGGACATCTGGGATACAGACCTTGGCTCCTCGACAGAATCAAAAGGCCCCCTTCATGCCACCGGCACAGAAAAACGCAAAAGATGGTGGAAGATGGGAAGCCCCTGACCCAACGTAGAAAAGGGGAACAGAAGACAGAGTGACTAACTGAGTCCATTTTGCAGTGGAACTGCAGAGCAATCGGAAATAAGAGACAAATGTTGCAGTTCCTTATCAAAGAGCATGCGCCGTTGGCGATACTCCTCCAGGAGACTTTCCCAAAGATATTTTTAAGAAGAAACGTTGAGGAGGGTTATCAAACCTTCTCAAGGGAGGTGAAGCTTGATCAGGGAGATAGGGCACACAGAGGAATAGCTATATCAGTAAGATAAAATATATATGCACATAAGATGAGACTGAATACAAACATCCAGGCTATCGTAATCCGATTGGAGGCGCCCATGTGCCTCATGCTGTGTTTTGGTCTATCATTTGCCAGATGGAATATTGCAGTATTGCACAGCAGTGAGGTTTCTGCCATGATCAAGTTGTCTCCCCCTCCCGATTATGGTGTTGGGCAATTTCAATGCCTGGTAGGGGTCACAGCACTCTGATGCTAGGGGCAGGAATGAGGGGGGATTGGAGATGACTGTGTGGCATGGTGGAGTGATGACTGCGCCGAAGCACATGCAGAGAAGAAGCGGGCTTTTTGATGCTTCAGAAGATACCTGATGGAGCATTATCTGATTATGTATAAAGTGTAAATGAAGTGAAGAGCAAGAGAGAGGCATATACTATCCGTGTCAAGCTCTACTGCTTACTCCAACAATTTGCTGGCAGAGAGAGAAAGAGAAATGTGTAACCATCTGCTGACAGTCTGATAGGCCTGGAATTCAAGCCCCGGGGCGCTGGTATCCCATATGGAATGCTGTGAAACCTTCCCCAGAGTGCAAAGCATAGCCTATTGGAATTCTTTCACAAAATATCAGATATGACTGAGGGCAGTGTGAGGCACTGGTCATTCCCACCCTCAAAGTGGGCAGGGACCCGAATCTGGCCACGAGTAACAGGCAGATCTCCCTGACAACCTGGCTAAGTAAACTTCTGGAGTCCATGATAAACGGTCGTTTAATTTTGGGATCCATTCTGCAATTGATCATGCTTGCCTTCTTGAGAGTGATATTCAGAATACGTTTCTGAATAGAGAGCATGCTTGGGTTGTGTTCTTTGACCTCGAGAAGGCATACAATACAATGTGGAGATATGTGATCCTTCAGAAATATTGGGAAATCAGATTTAGAGGCAAATTATCCCAGTAGTTCCTCGATGCACTGAAGCTTCCATGCTCTCCAGGAACTTTGTTCGAGAGAATCCCTCAGGGTTCAGTGATAACATTTTACACTTTTCTCGATCTCAGTGAACAGTGTCGCTGACAGTGTCCCCCGACCAATTAAATGATGATGATTCCTTTTGGGGAAAGACCTAGCATAAGTCGGAGTAGTGCTGTGGTAAGCTACAATTGTTGTGGCTAGAAGAGTCAAGGAAACTTCTGCATAGAAAACTGTTTGCCCATTTTTGCTCGGCCTGAGGGGTGCTGCGATAAGGAACGTAGAGTTGGTGAGGTTCCTCAGCCTCACATTTGATCAAAAGCTTAAATGGAAGCTACACATTGACGACGTCTAGGTGAAGGGAAGGAAAGTAATAACATAATTAAAGTTTATCGGTCGCATCAGGTGGTGAGCAGGTAGGGACCCCCTCCTGAAAATATCTGACTCATTGCTGTTCTCGACCTTGTTTTATGGTCGCAGACCTATTCTTGAGCCTGAAAAACATGCCTGCAGAGGCTAGATTGATAAGCTTTACTATAAGGTCTTTGGGTGGTCTCTGGCGCATTCAGAACTAGCCCTTTGGTCAGCCTGTGCTATGAGCTGGAAGTGCTACTGCCCAAATTTTGGAGGGTGCAGCTCTCCCCCAGCTATGCAGCGGGGTTCCTTGCCAAACTGGGCCATCTGCTTTCGGGGGCAATGCCAGTACAGTAGAATATATCAGCAAATTCAGATCTGGAGAGGATCTCAAGGAATAAGGAAGGAAGCTAAGCCTTAGCTGCCCTGGATCTCTAGGGGGGGGACTCTCTGCCTTGTTAGTAATGTCATCTACTCCGCCATACCTTTACCGAGCTAAGTTCTTGGAGCGTAGATCAAGGTATGCTGGTTTTCGGCTCATCTTAACAGACTGGTTTAAGACTGACAAAAGTGTGGCATGTGCCATGTATTGCGAGGGTGCCTCCACCTTTGTGGTTGCTCCCGCTGCACTGTAGTGTTTACACAGCAGATCTGTTTGCGATTGGGGTGTTTTGAGACGATGGTGGCTCTACCTACCTAGTCTGCACCGACTGACTCAGTGCGGTTACTGCAGTCCGACACAGGTTTCTGTCCACCCTCTTGTAGTGCTTTTGCTGGAGAGATACCACGAACTGCATCATCTCTGCAAAACGGTAGTTGTTTTGGAGAGATACCACGAACTGCATCATCTCTGCAAAACGGTAGTTGTTTTCTGGGTACCTGGACACAGAGGCCTAGAGGGGGTAATAAAAAGACAGATGAGGTGGCAAAGGCCAAGACGTCCAGAATTAACCACGATCCAGATTAACCAGCCCTCTAACGCTAAGAACGCAATAAAAAGGTCTGAACCCTGCTTAAAAACCTACACTTAACAATTGACCATAACTCTAAAACTAAAATAAGAGGTTTAAAAAAATTATTAGAAGATTAAGCAAAGTGAAAAATCAGTTTTTAAGAGACAATCAGCCTTGTAAAATTACACAATCTTCCCAAACTTCAGCCTTTGCTTAACGCATGACACTTTAAGAAGTGTAATTTCGTCAAGATTATTGGTTTCGTATAAGGAACAATGAGCCAGACTGGGGCATGAATAAAAAGCCACCTAACCTTGGCTGATTTCGAGCAAATTGGAATGTTAAGAAAATAGAACGAAGACAATGGCGATTTAAATCAATTTAATTGAAATCACACCATTATCCAATTTTCAGAGGGGGACTAGTGATTCAAATGCCACATGCATGTGTTCTCTATCATGTATGCTCATATCATAGTAATTGCTTTTTTGTTTTGTTTTTTACAAAAATGGATAATTAGCAAAAAAAGATCATTATTACTGAAAGTGAGAATATGCCAGACTTAACAAATCAATTAAGATTTGATTAATTTGAAGGCCACTATGGTATAGCTTATGAAAAACGTGTAGACAAGAATAAAATTTTTACTTTAAAATTACAAAAACAAAACTCATTACTCAGTGTGAATAAACAAATTGTGCATTCTTTTGTTTCTTACAGTTTTAAAAATAAAGTATGTGGTATTTCTCTTTATTCTTTAAATAGTTCATTTATTATTTCAAGACAACGGAGTATTGTTTCAAATCTATACACATTTTGTTTAACAGAGAAAAAATAAAACTAGTATAATGATGAATTCTACGATTCATGGCAAAGATTTGCTACAAGTCTAATATTAGAACAAGTATTGATCCAAAAATGATCAAAGGCCTATTAAATTTTTAGTTAAGCTCTTGGATAAAAATTTATCTTATAACTCTTTTGAAAGAGGGAAAATAACTTTCAGCGAAGCCTTTAATCAAACACAATCATTTGATTTTAACGCCATACCAAATATCAAATGGCCAGTATAAACCATTGGCAATAGTAATTTGTTTTTCTGAATAGATAATAATCAAGCCCAGCTTAAAACCTTTCACTAATAGCTAAAATGTTTAATTTTACACAACTTACTTTTGGTATACCTCCTGCACGTATATCACTGACTTGGCAAAGTTCGATAACATCCCCTTCCTGAAAATTTTTCAAGGTATCAACCAAGTACATTACAAATTTAACAATCTTATTGACTAGATACGTACCCTTCCTTCGCTTTTCCAGTATATAAAGAAACCGTACTCATCGACTTTGAAGAGGCAGTTGGGCTCGATATCGCTTGAGTCCTTGTCCTCATTCCATCTGTCAAAAACACATCCTTCGAGTAAGGGCTCTGGCACTGGGATATGCCAATTGAACTCAAACTTTTTTGTCATTATTCACAGCCTGGAAAATTAACAGGAATAAGTACACGATCGCAAATGAATTGATTTTTATTAAATTTCAGTAGCTGAGTAAATAAATGTGATTGGTTACAAAGCAGTAAACTTTATTGGTTGCTAGATTTTATGTTTATTTAGAAAAATATCAATAAATTTCATTGTGTAATTAGTAATCACTTAACGCATTTAAATTAAATATAAAATTATAATTTTAGGACATTTTTCAATATTAAAAGAAGTGAAATGTTGATTACTTTAGTTGGTGGTTCTGTGAGTTAAGATGCGATTCTGTCAGTTTTAACCCTAGTTCAAAATCAATAAAGAAAGGATTATTAATTGTTTTTTCTTTGTAGGAAAAAATAGTTTAAAATAAGAAGTTTATTATTTTATGTAAACTGACTAATAGTTGTTTTTTAATCATTATACATGCAAAAATATATTAAATACGTTATCTGCCCTTTTAAATTCCAAATTCTTCCAATTCCACTGGTACATTCTCTCCAACTACTCACAACTAAATAACACCATGGGAAAGTATGTTTAAACTATACAAGAATGTTCTTGCACAAAAGGAAAAATGGAGCGTGGCATTCTCTGTTAGAAACCAATTGTGTATTTTACCCAGCTTGTATGATAAAATGTACTGGAAGTTGGTCAAATAATTCCACAACCAGAAATGCTATTCTGCAGTTTCAGAGAAAGTTGGCGTATGAATTTATTTTCAGTAATAACCATGAAATAAACGAGCTAAAATGTCATTTTTTATTATTAACAGGGAAAAATATTTCATATAGTAAGGCCCTTGAAATGCTGCATTCTGCAAGTTAGTCAATTGTTCCATGTGAAACAATTGCACTGGGGAATTCTCGCCAGCCAGTCACAAGTAACCCACTGTGGGAAAAAATATTTAAACAACATAAAAATATTTTTGTATTTTCTTTGCTCAAAGGCAAAAACCAGACACCCGTATTGTTATAGTTACATTAATTACAACATACTTATTTTAATGTAACCAAATTAAACAAGTTCAGAAATTCACCAGTTTTAATATAAATTATTTAATTATGATGGTTTGAAAGAAAATTCACCAAAACACCAGAATATCATTTTGTGGTAGAAACAAATTGTTAGTTACATTTTAATCTATGTTACGACTAAAAACTACGATATAAGAAAAATGCAATTCGTACTAATAAAATAAACACATAGTTTGAAATAAACACCAAATACAAGTGTCCAGTTTTTATTTCCCTCTATTTCAGTATGAATGTAGTTCGCCAACATGCAGTTCTGCTAGATTTATTGATAATTTGACATTATTTAAAAATATATTAATGGTGGAAATTATGATTAAGCAAGATATATGCGAGTTAAACAGTTTTACCTCTGTCTCTTGACAACATGCGAGAACATTTGATGTTTGCTCTTTGTTAATTCAAATAATCAATCACACAGGAACTACATACTAAAGGAAAAAATATTCTTACTGAAAAAATGGTATGTAGGCCTAATTTTCTTAGTGAGAAATCAATTTTTCATTTTCTAAATTGAGTGATTTACATTCATATATATTTTTTCACTAAGTATTCTATACTTTGGTACTGTGTTCTGCAGCTTAACGAGCCGTTCTACAAGTTTGACTTCAGCATAGAAAGTGTATATTAATTATTTTTCACTTGCCAGGGAAAAGTAACGACTAACTATTAAGTGGAAACTGGCTAAATTGTATTTAATTATTATTAAAAAAACAAAGACAAGATATATTATAATTTGCCCTTTGAGGAGCTATATTCTTCTGCAGGCTGTCTTTTAGTTGTAAAATGATAGCAATGATGAATCACAACAGTTAATCTCACAAGAACAACATATAATGGGAAAACATATTTGTTACCAGAATATATTCTTCTTGATAAACTGTACACAAGCATAATTTTCTTTATGAGAAATGAGTTTTTTACAGTATACCTTGAGTTCTTTTTTGAAAAACTTAATGATTAAGTGGATGTGAATTTTTTTCACTGGGTGTTTTAACTTTGGTCTGGTGTTCATTGACTTAACATGCCATTCTGCAAATGTTAACTTTAGCATGGTATCAATGAAGAATGGTGTATACATTTTTTTTTTTTTTTTTTTTTTGGGCAGGGAATAAACAATGTACTTCTGTTTAAACGGGCTAAAATGGATTTATTTGCAAAAGAAAATGCACGATATATTATAAGTAGGTTAAATTGTATTTACTTATAATTAAAAAATGCAAGATATAGTATAATCAGCCCTTTGAGGAGCTATTTTCTACAAATTGTCTTTTACTTTGGGAATGATTGCATTGTTGATTCTCACCAGCCAATTGCACAAGAACAACATGCCATGGGAAAATGTTAGAAAAAAAAAGTTAGGGCATATTTTTTGTTATTAAGTATCAGTAAACATATTGTTTAAAGAATTGAATGTTTAAATAGATTTTTTCTCTGTGTTCTAGAATTTGCCATGTTCTACGACTAAACATGGCAATCTGCAAGTTATCAATGATGGATGATTGATGTATTAATTTATTTTTATTTCATAGGGGAACAGACAACAAAACATGCAAGAATGTTTACAAAATAGTTTTTGTCATTTCAAATGCTACGTTCTGCAAGTTGTATTTTACTTGTGAAATGCTAGCAATAGCTCATACTCACCAGCCAATCACACAAAACCAACACACCATAGGAAAATGTATATTTGGTGCAAGTAAAAAATAGCAAAGGCCTACTTTTTGTTATCCAGAAAACTGAGCGCCTTAAATTTCATTGTTAATAAAAAGATCGTTAATTTTGTTTTTTCACTGGGTGTTCTTGGTGTTCCAAGGATTAACATCACAAATGAACAACACCATGAGGAAACATTTACAAGAATATTCTTCCTCAAGAAAAAATTAGACAGGGATGAGAAACTTTTTTTTTGGCAGTAAACAGTGTTATTGGATTGAACGTTTAAATATTTTTTCTCTTGGTGTTCTATAATTTGGTACTAGGTTCTATTGCTTAGCATACCTAAGTATGTACATAAGTTTTAATCATCATCTATTAAGAATGATGTAGCAATTTATTTTAATTTATAGGGAATAAAGGCAATAAAACATACAAAAATATTTGGAGCATATATTGTCATTGCAAATGCATGTTGTCTTTTATTTGTGGAATGTTAGCAATGCTGATTCTCACCTACCAGTCACACAAGAACAACACACCATGAGAAAATTTGTTACAAGAAATAAAAAGTCGCATATTTTAATTTTACGTATACTAAGTACGTAATTTTAAATAAACGATCATTTGTTTATTTTTTTATTGGGTGTTCTTCACTTTATGACAGTGTTCCATGGCTTCACATAACATGAACAACTCCATGGGGAAACACTGAATAAAAAAAAATATTCTTACAGAAAAGAAAAAAAAAAAGCTAAGGAAAGGAGAAACTTTTTTAGCAGTAAACATAGTGCTTTATTGGATTGAATTTTTTTCTTGGTGTTCCATAATATGGTACTGTGTTCTATGTCTTAACATACCATTCTGCACATTTTAATTTTAATCAACGAAGAATAATTTATTGATTTATTTTTACTTTATAAAGAATAAGGGCAATGAAACATGCAAACATATTGGGAGCTTATTTCGACATTTCAAATGCCATGTTCTGCAAGTTGTCTTTTACTTGTGGGATTATAGCAATGCTGATTCTCACCTACCAGTCACACAAGAACAACACACCATGAGAAAATTTGTTACAAGAAATAAAAAGTCGCATATTTTAATTTTACGTATACTAAGTACGTAATTTTAAATAAACGATCATTTGTTTATTTTTTTATTGGGTGTTCTACACTTTATGACAGTGTCCCATGGCTTCACATAACATGAACAACGCCATGGGGAAACATATTTAATAAAAAAATATTCTTCCAGGAAAAAAACTAACCAGGGAGAAACTTTTTTTAACAGTAAACATAGAATGCTTTATTGGATTGAATTTTTTCTTGGTGTTCCATAATTTGGTACTGTGTTCTATGTCTTAACATGCCATTCTGCAAATTTTAATTTTAATCAATGAAGAATGATTTATTAATTTATTTTTACTTTATAAAGAATAAAGGCAATGAAATATACAAAAATGTTAGGAGCATATTTATGACATTTCAAATACCATGTTCTGCAAGTTGTCTTTTACTTGTGGAATAATAGCAATGCTGATCCTCACCAGCCAATCGCACAAGAACAACACACCAAGGGAAAATTTGTTTGAAGAATGAAAAAATTTGAAGTATATTGTTTATTATAAAGTATGCTAAGTACCTTATGCTGAATTAGTAATAAAAAGATCTGTTTATTGTTTCATTAGATGTTCTACACTTTGTTACAGTGTTCCATGACTTTGCATAGCATTAACTGCACCATGGGTAAATATATTTATTACAAGAATATTCTTAAAAAAAAAAAAAAAAAAAATACTAAGCAGTCGAGAAACTATTATTTTACAGTAAAAAAAAACATACAGTTCTTTATTAAACTGAATGATTAAATGAGTGTGTTTTGTTTTTCACTGTTCCATAATTTGGTACTGTTCTATCCGTTAACATACCATTCTGCAAGTTTAAATTTAGCATGGCATCAATAAAGAATAGATTTTTTTCTTTGTAGGTAATAAACGTTTTATGGAAGAAACTTATAATTATGTTTAAACCGGCTAAATTGTATTTACTTATGATAAGGCATGCAAGAATATTTAGGAGCATAATTTGTTATTTAAGATGCCATGTTTAGCAAGTTGTCTGTGCCATGTGAAACGACGGCACCGGTGTATTCTCACCAGGCGGTCACAACTGAACACCGGACCGTGGGAAATTTTTATTCAAGAAATGTGTTTACCTGGTGATCTAGTCATTTGAATCGGTTGAATTTGGGTTACGCCCTGCTATTTTGCCTGATAAGGGTCGTAAAACATGATTCGGAGGGTTTGACGAAGGGGCTCAGGGGAACTGGGTCGAACTCAAAATTGGACGAAACTAGTAAAACTGCCGTGGCGGGTACAATGAAATTGTCGCGACCACTACATAGGGACAATTACGTTAACCCCACTATAGCACTACCATTTTCATTTTGACAAGGAATATTCCTCCCTTTGCCCCCTCTCGGACTGACGAACGCATGCGCCTACCCGCGGGTGTCCCCTCTAGTTTTACAGTACCGGCTGAACGAAAACGAAACTGCCAACACCTCTCATAGATGACGTCACTTGCTGTGTTGGTACCACTGGACCGCTCAACCATTTTTCTTTTTTCAACAATAAGAAAGTAATAAAAATAATAAATAAAGTGAGTTATTAGAAATGATAAATGGTGGAGTGAGTGTGTTGTTCAATCTTTTTAAAAAGTTAGTTTCTACTCAAAGTTAGTTGATTTCAAGCTTATATCTCATCATCAGGTTGAAGGAATTTACAACCACATTCCTTTAAACTGATGATGAGCTATAAGCTTGAAATCCGGATGGTTTAACATCTAACCGTAAGCAGGAACTATCTTTTTAAAAAGAAAGCGTGTTATTTCTTTATCTATTCATGTTACATCAAATTTATCTATGCATACCAAGCATTATTAGGTCGCACTTTCTCCCCCTCTAGTAACATTAGTAAATTAAACTGCTCAAAAATAATAGGGAATTATTGGGAAATAGGGAACAGTTTTTTTATTTTCCCTAGCGTTGTTATTTCATTGTTATTAAAAATTGCATTAAAATTTATTACAAATTATTGTTTTTTACTGAAAGAAAATTTAATTAAGGAATTTTGAAAAAGAACAAAATAAACGGTTTTGATTATATAATTTTGTTTATTGTACGCAATAATTAATACTCTGTATAATGTATTTTGTTAGCTAAAACCTGTGTGCACCTGTTAGGCATATTGTTAATAAGGTTGTCACTAATTTCATACGAAATTTCAATCCATAGATATTCGAACGCTGCACTCAGTTGTTGCAGGTCAAGTGGTTGCGGATGGTGATCGAAAAGCCTTCTCTGTAACGCATCCCACATGTACTTAATGTGATTGAAGTCTGGAGACAATGAGGGAAGGGGCAGATGGGAAATTCCCAGGTTTTCTAAACATTGATGAACAACTCTGCCTCCTCTAGTTCTGGTATTGTCATTCAGAAATCGGAAATCCCTGCCAATGATGTACCTGGTTTGAGGGATGTATTCCTGGATAATTTCTTGGGCATAACGGACTGCGGGGAGGTTGCCTTCAACAATATGGAGTGCAGTTCGACCTCCAGTGTAAATCCCAGTTCCGACCAATTACACCGCCTCCTCCAAACTGCACTGAATGGAGCACGAACTGGGGCAATGTACGCATTCCGTGTACTCGATAGTCTTTTCGGCGCCTGCTATCACTATCTACCTATCGGCTGTTATCAATCAATTCATCAGTAAACATAACAGCATTCCAATTACTGTTCTCTTCTAGGCGCTCGCTGCACCATATTCAACTGAGTTGCTTGTGGCGGGCTGTTGCTGCAGGTCGTCTCAAAGGGGCATACGATGTGGAAAGGGTTCCGTCGCAATGACAATATTTCTGTCATTCCTTAGCATCCTAATGCGCTGAGATTCACTACCAGGCCTCCAATTGGCACTTCCAAATCTCAGAATCGAGCTAAAGCTCGGGAGACCACGCTCTGAGAAACGCCAACTGCCTCTGCGAGAGAAAAGATGAAAAAAGAAATAGAGAAAAGATGAGAAACGTGTTTATTTACAAATTGCGGAATCTTCTTAACATTTTTATTTAGAAATCGTGAGATGCGATCTGGTGTGGTGTAGGTTTCAGAAAAACATTTTCTTTATCGTGCCAACGTTTCGATCTTTATTGACATCATCTTCAGGGCCTGGGATTTACCAACATTGTTTACATATAACAATTACATTTTGGATGTGGAAAAGTGAATTTATACAATGTAAAATATATTTTTTATATATTCAATCAAAATATTTCTACTCAATCAAAGTGTTTGTCTTCTGTGTAATTGTGCCATTCTTGCGTGTCGTGTCGAGAGTGCCAGTGAGATTTTGCTATGTTTATATACGTTGGATTTTGAAGGGGTGGGGAAGGGTCGGTATAGAAAAGACATTTTTGTATAAGGCGTCGGCTTCTTTGAGGAGAAAAGAGCCGACGAAGGGAAAAAATGTGTTGGTAATGGTTCGGCCAAATTATCCTTTCAGGATTATATAGAAAGGGATAAAATTATTGGGAAATTAGACTATGTGAAAAATATTTGATGTGTGGAATGTAATATGATGATATAGGTATGTTATCTGTATTGAATTTGATTAATGATATTGGCGTAGCTGCGACTGAGTTTACATGTTCTGTAATTGATGCTGTGTTTATCTCTGTTGATATAAACCATTTCTAAGAAATTACGTTTATGTTTGTTTTGTTCTGTGTGTAATACTTTTGGATTTTTGAAGTCGAAATTGTGTTGGTGTTCAAGATGGTGGGTAGCGAGTGCTGTAGGATTTTGCTTAGGTTTTTTGCAATCATAGATATGTTGCTTTACTCTCTTGTCCAGATATTGGGATGAAAGACGGATGTAAGTTGCCGGACAGTTTAAGCAGTTGATCTTGTAGATTACGTCAGATTTATTTGTTATTGGTGTGGGATCTTTAATTTTGGAAAAAAGTGTTTGAATTGTTTTATAATTTTTGAAAGCTATTTTGAAGTTATCGGACAAGAGAAATGTGTTTAATTACAAATGCGGACTCTTACCTGTTCTTACCATTGTTAAGTAAATTATTAATAACGGTTATTAAAAATGAGGATTAACATTTAATTGTTTTTGGTTTGTATTTTCTAATTTGTTTTATCCAACTAACAAGAATGTACCGATTAATAATTAAAATTACTAGAATAAGAATAATTTACAATTATCCCTACGCATTTTTGAGCAGTTTATAAAGACTAGATGCATCGAGACATCCAGGTTAATCTTACTTTTCATCCTCTATATCATCACGCCTCTCTATTGTACTTCATTTTTAGTTAAATAAAATTGGTTTTAAAAAGAGTAGGAAGAGTTAATTGGCGCAGTCGGTAGGACGGCTAACATTTCGAAGAATATTTCTGTTTCTGCTGTTGATTGGCGTTTGGGGCGTTATTTGGACCTCAAGAAGACACAAACATTTTAAAAGAAGACGGACCAGCGGACATTGTATACTTGTTCTACTTATTCGCGGGAGTCAACAATTTTATTTTTACTAGCTTTTACCCGGGACTTCGTCCATGCTGTTTTAATGTACTTTTCGAATACGATGCAGAGCGCTAGTATGGCTTTCTAATATAAATGTCTCATTTCTCAAATTCTTCTCTTCCTCAGTTTACTTCGGTCTACACACGATAAAAAATTGTACGTATGATTTCCTAAGGGATGGAATTTAAAAAAATTCTTTCTTAGCGGTTATAGGAATGACTCGAAATTTCTGCCCTTTAGAAATTAGAAAACAGCGGTTTGGTCTGTGCGTTGTCTGACAGTCAGACACAACTGTATTTATGTATAGATGGAAGATAGGGATGGAATTTCAAAAGGATTATATAGGAATGCATGTCGAAATTTCAGCCCTTTAGATCCAGCAGTTTGGCCTGTGCGAAGTCTGTTAGTCACGGAACGGTTTCATGTATATATATATNTAGATATACTGTTGTCCATGCCGTAAAGTATTTTGTAACATATTTTGAGTTTGTTGTGTTCCATGTAAATAAATACTATTATTCATTCTATATATATATATATATAAATTCTGCTCTTCTTAATTAAAATTAAGTGCACCGTAAGTGACCCTGTGCCGGTTCAACATGAGCACACCGATTTGAAGACCAAAATACATCATCAACTCAGTTATTTTTTATTTACAATTTATTTCAATGTATTTTGGTCTTCAAATCGGTGTGCTCATGTTGAACCGGCACAGGGTCACTTACGGTGCACTTAATTTTAATTAAGAAGAGCAGAATTTCTAAAGTCTGGATAGAAAGATATTACATAGGTTTTTGAAGCTTTGTAGTCAAACCAAAACGAATTATTCTAGAGAGAAGGGTTTGTAAGAGAATTATGTCCTGAGCACTCGAAATTTCACTATAAATTTGAAGACCATCTGCAAAAAGAAGAAAATTAACAGAAGAAATCGAAGCATCAATATTTTTAATAAATAGCCGTCCTAAATAAGAGCCCTGTGGGGAATTTTAACTATTTGAAACCTATCTTTAAGATAATTTTGGAACTTTGGTGAAGTTGATTTATTTGGTGGACCTTGAACTTTACTACCGATGAGCCAGTTGTCTCGAATGCCGTCTGGCTGTTCAAATAATGGCTATTCTTTTGTAGGTAAACCAAGCCTTTTGATCTCCCTGGCACAATGTTCAATGGCCACAGTTTCCGCCTGAAATACCGTGAAGCTCAAAGCTTATATGAAGTTTAGTTCTAGATACCAGCTCCTCAACCCTTACATAATACATATGTCTCCCAAATCTGTTCAGTCAGCTTTGTTAAATCTGTTTCAGTTTGTTCTGTTAGTCCTTTGACCGACCTGCAGCGAAGGTAGATTTAAAAGGGGGTTGTACTGAGGCAGCTTGGCAAAGCTCATCAGCTCTCTTCTGTAATGTCCTCGCTCGTCATACCACCGATACATAGATTATCATGGGTCTAGCAACCGATGTACATTTCCATATGGGCACCTATGTATTTAATCTTCAGATTTTCCCATATTACCAGTACCGATGTTAATTTTCGCTCGTTGTGTGATTTTATTAAGTAGCTGATTCCAAAAAAGACTTTGATGATGATTGAAGATGATGCCCATGTGTTTCTTTAGAGAAAGGAATACAGCTTCATTTAGCTCAAGTGGTTTAAATCCTCCTATGACATTTTCTTTGAAAATAAAACTACGATAGCTTTATTGGGGTTTATTGATAGCCTTTCTTTTTGCACCTCCTGTCTATTAATTTGAGTGACATTTGCACCTTCCCTATGATGCCCTCTGTAAAGCGTCCATTTACGATAAACAAATCTAACTATTTTAATTTTTATATGAGAACACGACTCAATAGAATTTCCTTGCATAATTAAATTTCGTTGCCTTTTCTTACGAA